TTAAAAAATATGCACAGGCGCGCGCACACATGTGTGTACCATTATGTCCCAAATTCAGGGTCTTTTCAGATTCCTCCAAGGAAACCCTATCCTTCTTCTCCCCACAATTGATCTGAAACTTCAGCCTCATCGTGGCACTGCTATTTGGGGCAGCGATATTGAAGCAGAAAAGAGAAAACTCCAGAGGGCTGGGAGGGGCAGAGATGTATGAGAGGAAAGGAATGAGTATAATGATGTTGCTTTAGGTCTTCTTGCAGTGATTTTCCCCCTTAAATCATTGCTTCATAAATTGATACAAATAAAAAAAGAAATAAAATCCTAATTGCCCCCAGGCTAGATAGATAGATAGATAAAATAAATAGTCCTCTACCCCCCCCCCCCCCACACACACACACACAAGCACACACAAGAGCAATCTGGACTCCTTTTGCTTCCACACCAGGATCTTCATAATCACCACAGCTTGAACAAAATCCACTAAATGCCCATTTGCTTTTGGAAAATAATTCCCAACAGATAATTTTCTCCAAAGGCGATGATCCTCTACTTCCGTCTAGCCCAGACATTTGGTCCGTCTGCTTTTGCTGGCTGCAATCTGTCTCCACGTAGGAATTTCCCACCCCCCTCCACACGCAATGTCATGCAGACGACTCAAAGGCAAAGGTAAAAGGATTAGGAGATGGGTTGATGGAAGATATTAATGCTCTTTTATGTTGGGTTGAAGAAGGATTTGAGGTCATCAGGAGAGAGGGTAGCAGGAGAATAGACCTCAAGTATTCAAAAGACTCTCTGGATTAAAATCCTATTAAACTCACATCAGCTTCTCCAGGAGGCATTTGAGAAGGTTGGGGTTTCTTTAACTTGTCACCATAATTAACCTTCTCTTAAGCTCTTTTGGGTGGGGAACGTTTAGCAATTAAGAAACTGAAAAGTTTCATTTTCTATCACCCACATGGCCTTTTGAATGGTTTAAACACTAGAATGGAAAGTGGTTTAGCCTAATTGATTTGAGGGGTTCAGATCTCCCACTTCAACTTGCTGTCAGACTTGCCCCTGTGGTCTGAGCCCCTCCCTAGACAGGGCATTTTGTCAAGTGAAAAGAATCAAAGGTTCGGATCTACCATGATGCTTTTCTTTCTCTAATCATCCTCCCACTGAGCTCTGCAGAAAGAGCAACTTTGCAAAGGGATGGCTGTTTCCCCTAAAAAAAATCTGCTTCTGGGCCCAGGTTTCACTTCATAAGAACTACCCTCAGAAGCCCAAAGGGCCCGTCTCTCTCCACAGGTGCAAGCTTACCAAGTTTCAGCATCACCTGTGTCCCTAGCATCTGTTCTGTTACAAGGACGTGAAGGTCAGGAAACCCTGACAGGTAGGGGCAGCCAGTATGGGATGGGGCGGCCAAGCGTCTGAAGAAATGAGGGTCACAAAACATGTGCTGTTTTAAAGGCTTAGTCTTCAGAGTTTTTCTCCACCAGGTAGAATGTCAACCCAATTTTAAATCTCAACACTCCGTTAGGGAATCAAAACTGTGCTATGTTCAGCCCCTGTCCCTCTACAGTATCCACCTGGGTGTCTCGTTGCCTCCGTCAGCCTGTGAGCTCCTTAAGGTCAGGCAGTGCAGCCCTCTGTCACTCCAGCTCCTAGCACAGTGCCTGGCACAAAGCATCACTCAACACACGCTTACCCACGACTGCACCGGATCCCCTCTGTGCCTTAAGGCAAGTCACGGCCTCTGTTTTGTACCATGAAAAATTAAGGAGTCTGTTGGGCTGCATGACCTCAGAGGTCATTTGCTAGTTCTCAGAATCTCTGAAAAAGGAACTGTGTGTGGGCTGGCTTTTCGTGGCTCCTGTGCTCGGGCCATTATTTATAGCAACCGGTATAGAGAACATCTATTAAGCCCTTGAACACACTCTGCACTGCTCTTGATGCTCCACCGCTGTTATTTCATTAATCCTATGAAACAGAGATTCTTGTTGCTCCCATGTGATACAGTGGGAGATCGTAAAGGCCAGCAATTTGCCCAAAGTTCTATTAAGCGTGGTGTCCCCTGGTTTCAAAGTCTGGGCTCCTAACTATTCTTCCACGGCCGTTAAGAGCCTCCTTTCTGAGCCTCCAGTTCAGGCTGCCAGCCCTTCATCTGATCTACATACATCTTCCCTGGCTCCCCAAGGGGCCGTGTGCCTGCCTGTCAATTGCTTTGATTTCCTACCCCAGGGCCGCAGCTGGCCAGGCCTCCACCTGCTCCAAGCAGAGGCAGAGCCTGGCCCCGGGTCCAGCAGGGCCTTTGTCCTGAGAGCCTGCACTCCTGTTGGGAGCAGGTGGCCGGAAAAGCAAAAGGAGATGATCATCAGGGAAGCAGCTTGGAAGGTGGAAGGGGGAGGCAGGCAGACAGGGTGGATCCGAGGAAGAATTCCAAGTGCCCTCCCCCCGTGACCTGAGCCCATGAGCATGATGACCACCCTCGGCAAGGGCAGAGCCCTGGATGGACTTGCTTATGTGATAGCCACAGGAGGACGAGGGCAGAGAAGGAGTAGAGATCTCCTAGGAACGCCTTGGAGGCATCTTATAGAAACTGTGTCAATGGCCTGTGCTAAGTGGCGGGTATTGTTTCATTTTAAAGCATCTCTGCCTATTAAAATGCTATTTTCAGTGACAGAGCCCGAAATCCTCTTGACTTAAACTCTTCAGTGTTTTTATAAAAAACTTTTGATTATACAATAGAATTTTTTTTAGTTATTTAGAAAAACTAGTTCTTCTCAGCAATTGTACTCCTATGTATTTACCCAAATGAACTGAGAACTCAGGTCCACATAAAAACCTGCCCATGAATGTTTATAACAGCTTTATCAATAATCATCACAACTCGGACGCAACCAAAATGTCCTTCGATTGGTGAATAAATAAACCAAATATGGTACATCCATACAATTGAACATTATTCAGCAATAAAAGGAAATGAGCCCTGACTGGTTTGGCTCAGTGGATAGAGCATCGGCCTGCGGACTCAAGCGTCCTGGGTTTGATTCCAGTCAAGGGCATGTACCTTGGTTCCAGGCACATCCCCAGTGGGTGCGTATGCAGGAGGCAGCTGATCGATGTTTCTAACTCTCTATCCCTCTCCCTTCCTCTCTGTAAAGAATCAATAAAATATATTTTTTTTAAAAAGGAAATGAGCCACTGAGTCACAAAAAGATATAAAGAAATTAAATATATGTTGCTAAGTGAAAGAAACCACCACATACTCTGATTCCAACTATATGCCATTCTAGAAAAGTCAGAATCACAGAGACAGTAAAAGATCAATTGTTTCCAAAGGGATCAAGGGAAGAAGTAGAGAAGAACCAGTGGAGCATGGAGTATTTGGGGGGCAGTTAAATCAAATGCATGAACCTGGAATGATGGATACATGACACTATCCACCATTGTTGATCACCATGTCATTATCTGCATCTGTCAAAACCAAAAGAGCTGTACAATACAAAGCATGATCTCTAACACAAACTCTGGACTTTAGTTATTAATATTGTATCACTACAGCTCGTCAATTATTAAAAATTTAGCACAGCAATGCAAGATGTTAATAACAGGAGAAACTGAGGTTGGGGGGGAGAAAGAGAACATGTGAGAACTCTGTACTTCCTGCCCAATTTTCCCGTAAGCATGAACCTGCTCTAAAAAATAAAACATTATTAAACACTAGAGGCCCAATGCATGAAAATTCATACACTTGGGAGGGGGGATCCCTCAGCCAAGCCTGCACCCTCTCACAGTCTGGGACCCCTTGGGGGATTTTCCCGTAAGCATGAACCTGCTCTAAAAAATAAAACATTATTAAACACTAGAGGCCCAATGCATGAAAATTCGTACACTTGGGAGGGGGGATCCCTCAGCCAAGCCTGCACCCTCTCACAGTCTGGGACCCCTCAGCACAATGACTACCAGGGGGCAGTTCCTGCATTGATCACCTGCCCCCTGGTGGTCAGTGTGCCTCATAGCGACCAGTTGTTCCCAGTCGTTCCTCCATTAGGGTTAATTTGCTTATTACCCTTTTATTATATAGGATAGTTTATCTGAAGATGTTTTGTATCCTGAAAGCAATCACATTGTTCCTCTGTATTCCTTTTAGGATACACATAATGGTAACAACAACCACATACTATCATTCACCAGACAGGCAGTATATGTATGATCTCATTTAACCCTCACAGAAACCCCCTGAAAAATTGAGGTCAGAGCAGTGAAAGGGACTTGCCAGGGGTCTCAAAGTCTTTAAGTGGAAGAGGTAGGACTTGAACTGAAGTCTGTTCAAGCCCAACTTTATAGCCCTACTTTGTTGACTTATTGTTCAGAGGTCATCAATGGGCAGCTCTTCAACAAGTCAATAAGGAGACAGGGCAAGTCTTGACAACTCCTAGATTTAATCATTCACTCCCAAATATTTGCTCAGCACTTGTGTTCTAAGCACTGGGCTAAATTCATAGAATATAAATATTTTTTTAAAAAATACTCCCTCCTCCTATAGGAAGCTCATAATCTAGAGAAAAAGACAGATAAAGAAATGAAAGCCCTAGGACAAGGGCAGGCAGTTGCCAGCTACAGAATCTACATACTATGACAAGGATGTGGGGACAGCCCTCTGGTGGGAATGGAGATGACCATGGAATTTGTCTTGAAGTTGTGTTTACATAAAAAGCACCCTCTACACCCTAACCATCCTCCCTCTAGAGATAGGAGATGGAGAGCATGACAACCCAACTCAAGAATGAAAAATATATAAAAATTTCAGCAGCAGAAAGAAAACAATTAATATTAAAAATAGTTCTCCGGAGGAAGGGGGGAAAGAACTAACATTTACTAAATGTCCAAAATATGCTAGGCTCTCGTCTAGATCCCTAGCCTACATCCTCTCTCTTAAACCCCCAATAGTCTTCCAGGGTAGATATGATTATAAACAGAATATAGAGTAACTAGGGTTTCAAAATTCCTCTCTTTCTTACCTGTGTCTTTCTTCTTCTCTCGGGAAAGCTCATGCACAGTGGCACCAATTTCATGCTTCAAGATCTTAATGATGTTGGCCAGAGTAGGCATGCTGCCCTTGTCCAGACTGGTGAAGATTTCATACTCATCTTTCTTTAAGCGCGAAGGTCTGGATTCAATGTGGGTCAGATTTATTTCATTCTCCTAGAAAACAGAATTGGATATGTGAAGAGGACAGTTGTCATGAACGCAGACCAAACACACCAAACCAGAGCAAAACACACCGCACAAGGAAATGCAGACAGATGGCGAATAGGATTTTCCAAATCAGAGTAGAAGAAAGTCCTTGAAGTTGCACAAGTTGTCTATTTTCTTTTTTTTTCAAAACCCAATAACAAATGGCAAGAGGTGAGGATATAGTTCCAATACTGCAGAATTTAACCACATGGAAATCTGCTCAAGGCCTAGAGTTGCAACCATAGATGTTGATTTGGTTTGAATGTTTAGGACAGTGTTTGCCAAAAATATTTACATAGGAAAACTCCCTTTCCCAAATGAAATCCCATGGAATCTCAATAATAATATTTCAATAAATAGATAATACAGAAGCAACATTTTTCTGCTTGAACATGGTCCATAGGAGTCAAGCTAATTGGGTTTAAATCCAAGTTCTCAATTATATTGGCTATGAGACCTGAAACAATTTACTTTATGTTTCTAACCTTCAGTTTCCACATCTGTAATTTGGTGATAAAAGTGACACCTGCTTCATATATTTATTGGGAACATTGGATGAAATGATACATGTACACTGCCTGGTACATGGTAAATGCTCAGTAAAAATTATTTAGTATAATTACTGCTCACATGTTTATTCAAATATACAACAAATGTGTAGGCAGCATCTACCAATACCCATTACTCCTCTAGGTGGTTGGGCTACATCAGTGAACAAAACAAAGGTACTTCTCTTTATAAAAGCTTCCATTCAAGTTATAGGGATATAAACACAAACATAATGCAGTATTTAACAGGACAGGACAGGACACATGAGGCTTTTTGAGAAGGGGAGAGGCTGCTTGTATTAAATGCCACAAAAATAATAATTGCTTGATATACCTACTCAAATTCAATGTCTTTAGCTGGTGAGATTTCGCTATTATGAATTTGTAATTAAAAAGTTACTTAAATTGCTGTGAAATTTTAATGCATGGCAAGTTATCTGCTACTTGTTCAGAAAGTCTGTGATTGCATTGAGAGCGCTGCTCATTATAAAGACAACCAAGGGGCACCCTCTACCCTTTATTAAAATAAGCAAATAGCCCAGCCAGTGTGGCTCAGTGGTGGAGTGTCGACCTATGAACCATGAGGTCACAGTTCGATTCCCAGTCAGGGCACATGCCTGAGTTGCGGGCTCAATCCCCAGTAGGAGGCATGCAGGAGGCAGCTGATCTATGATTCTCTCTCATCATTGATGTTTCTATCTCTCTCTCCCTTCCTCTCTGAAATCAATAAAAATATTTTTTAAAAGAAGCAAATAACTGGGGTTACCCCAAACATTTAAATAGACAATATACCCTGAAAAAGTAATGTTTAACTTGAATAACTCAACAACTTCAAAACACAAAATTAATCAACTTTGTCATTCAAGAAGTATTTTTTCCCTTAGTGGTTAATGGCAGGTAAAGAGAACATGAATAATTACAATATGAATACATTTTTCACTTTGAATATCACTTCACAGTTTAGAATTATTTTCTGTGATCGTCCCCACAACCCTTTGAGAAGGTTAAAGGAGAAATAGAGAGTGAAATCAGAGATGAAGAGGTTTTGCCAAAAGTGGTAGGAGACGGGCTCATTTTTTCTAACTTCAGAGTCATGGTGATGGGGTGGTTATCTGTGGGCACCAGCTGCAGAGGATACAGCCCCGATGGTGACCCCAGGTTACCCAATGTGAGGACATGGACCAGAGAGAGAGAAGGTGGAGGAGGGAAAGCCAGAGAATAGCAGTTGCTTTGAAGCTTTCTTTTTTTTTTTTAAATATATTTTTGTATTGATTTTTTACAGAGAGGAAGGGAGAGAGATAGAGAGTTAGAAACATCGATCAGCTGCCTCCCGCACATCCCCCCACTGGGGATGTGCCAGCAACCCAGGTACATGCCCTTGACCGGAATCGAACCTGGGACCTTTCAGTCCGCAGGCTGACGCTCTATCCACTGAGCCAAACCGGTTTCGGCTGCTTTGAAGCTTTCTAAGCAAACAGAGGTAACTTCCTAAACAAAGAAAAGAATATTGTCATCCTTCTTGGCTCAGAAAGAAAAAGAGTGGGTGAGTTCCAATGGCTATTTACGTAAGTTGAAACTTCAAAAGGAAGAAAGAACCAATCCCTGACATTTGGAGAGCAGAGAACACAGCAACACCAATAGCCAGGACAGGCCACACCTCTGGCAAGCTTACCTGCTGACTAAGGAGGACAGAGGTGGGGGGGGGGGAGTTAGGGGGAGGAAGGGCTGGAAGGCTGATCATAGGCTGTTAGTACTCACCACCCACACCACACCCCTGGCAACAGCACTGCCTCTGGGAAGAGCCATAAAACAATTTGTACCCCAAATTCAGTTTGTGCTATTCTAGAGACTTCACTTATGGGGACATACTTTACCTAAGTGTGTAAACTAACTAAATTCCCACAATAGGGGAATGGGTAGGTAGACTATATAATGTAATCACTCAGTAGAGAGGACACAACTATTAAAAAGCAAGTCACAACAACATCTTATATAAAATAAAGTGTCATTGGCCATTGCATGATTGGTGGTCTTCAGATCATGGGCCTATAGATAATTTTGTTTCCTTCTTTCTATTTTCATTTTTATCATAGTTCAACTTTTCTAAAACAATGTTTCTGACTTTTATAATGAAAAATTCACTTTATTTCTTACAGGGTTATAATGACAACCCCTTGGGAAAATACTTATGATGAATATAGGTATGTGATAATTAACAATTTTTTTAAAAAATGATGCCCAGGCCAACAAAAGACTAGAATGAAATGCATCAAGCTTTTGTTTGATCATATTTGAAATAAAGATAATAATGTTACCTGACAGCTTAGTGAGAATTAGAAAGAGAGAAAGTATTATGTTGGCTGCCTTCATAGGTATTCAGTAAGAACTCATTGTACTCTGCCTGTCTCATCGTGGTAGGATACACATTTCCCTGGACATCAAAACATATTCTGTTTCAGCTCCTTCCTCAGCTCCTTTCCCTGGAACATGTTTCAGAAAAGAGAAGGAAGAGCTGAGCATGTTTTCAGAGGAGACCAGACTGGAAGCAAGAACTTCTTGGACCACACTACCTGCTGCTGCCTTAGAGTACACGTAAGTGAAGTTATGCCCTGCCTATCTCGGAGGTCACATCAAAGACATTCACAAAGAATGTCCCAAGTCATTGGTCTCAAGCAAAGAAACGGAAACTTCCAATAGCTCATCCAGTCAAATACTTTCCATGGGCCAAACATTGGGGTACAACAGGGAACAGGGCAGGAAGAATCCCTGCCCTCCTGAAGCTGACATTCTTGAAGGAAGAGACAAATAATAACTGTCATGAATAACTAAAAATCATCTTCGGAAAATAAAGCAGAAAAGAGAGATCAGTTATCCCAGGGGTGCCATGGAGGTGCCATTTTAAACAGTGTGGTCAGGAAGTCCTCAAAAAATAAACAGGTGACATGTAGCATCGACCTGAAGTCAGTGAGGGAGCAAGGCATGAGGGAACAGTAACTGCAAAGGCCCTGGGGTAAGATAATGTCCAATATGACTGAGAGCCATCAAGGAGGCCAGTGCTGACTAGGGCAGAGTGAGCAAGAGGGAGGGCGCTAGGAAATGAGGAAGAGAAGTAACAGGGAATAGACCACGTATGGCATTTTGGGCCATTACCTGAAGTTTGTTTTTCACTCCAAGTGATGGAAGAAGCTAAGGGAGGTAATCTGGAAGAGGAGACATCCTTTGACTCATGTTTCAAAAGGAACATTCTGGCAACTGTTTTATGAATAGACTGTAATGGGGCAAGGGCAGGAACAATCCAGAGGCTCTGACAATATTTGGGGTAAGAAATGATAGTTACAAAGATTGAGAAGAAATTGCATGGAGGTGCAGGCAGGGCTTCTTATGTATTTCACTGGTCTCTTTTTGTGAGAAGGCCCACAACAGCCCCGATTGATCAAGAGTCTAGCAATTCAACCCACTGGGATTAACAGGAAACCGAAAACATTCAGAAAAATATAAACACAATTCATTTCTAGAGGGAGCCCCCACTCCCCACCCCACACACACTACCTTGGAGGAGAGCTCTTGAGCAGATTCATGCTGGACTTTCAGTAGGATTCACACCCCAGAGACTATCTTTTGGGATTCTACTCTTGCTTCCTTTGGAAGTGTCCCTTGAAATCTTTTGGCCTTTTCTTCCCTGTGTCTTCACCCTTTTTGTTAGATTGTTTCTTCCCCACCCTCCCCTCCATGTAGTTGTGTCCAAATTGGAGGAGACCCCTTCCTGGGGAGAGCTGGGGTAGCAGCTTCATCCAGGATCTTCTCAAGGCTTTAGAGAAAAAGGCCTTTCTTTTTCTTACATTCCTCTTCCTATACCTTTTCTTGCCACCAGAGCGATCTGATAAAAAAGGCACCGAGGTCTGTTCCATTCCAGGCCACTGAAAAGCAATCATGTGTGTGCTGCCAATGGGCCACAGCTCTGTCTAAACTAACTTCATAACAGAAGTGGGAAAAGTAAGCTCTCTGTTGCTATTTCTCAAGTGTGTCCAATTCTGAACTGTTCGGCAGCTAAAAACAGTACCCGTTTTCCATTTGAGGCTCTTCCCTTCAATAAACAGGACATCAGACCTGCATGAAATGTTTAGTGCAGCACCATTTGTGTGGACAAACCATGGAAGCCACCTAGGTATCCATTAACAGGAAGTGAATAAATATAACCACACAAAAGAATAGATAGAGGGGAAAGGAATGAGCAAGAACTGTGTGAGCAAATCTCCAAAACAATGCTCACCACCCTCTCCTCAAGAAAGAGAGCTGCAGGAGAGTTACAATGTTATGAAGATTAAAGCTTGCAAAACGATGCCATGCATCACTAATGCTTATCTATATAGAACAAAGTATAAAACATGCATGGGAATCATATGCATAAAATTCCGATTC